CGCGCTGACGAGGTAATTCCAAGCGCGCTCGCGCCAGGCACATGCCGGCGACACCCCCTCGGGGGATTTCCGATATTGCCGGCCCCTAGGTTAACACATTTGGTTGGCTGTGCTCCTCTCTTGTGTCTAAGTATAGGGAATTGTTGCGGATAAATGGTGGGCATTTTACATGTATATCTTGTACTAATGCGGTGGGCCACAGCTCGGTGTGGCTCCGGAAATACCTCCTGTTACTATATTCATGTTTATCTCATGATCACGCCTAGTGGAATAGATCGGTCAGAAGGTTGGCACGATACTAATTAAATGCCGCATTGTAAGATAAGCCCCCCCCCCCCCCAACTGTCGATGGTTGGGAGTGAGCGTCACACGTGTCAAGTCAACTGCCGAGTAGGCTGGTCGCAAGGGCCCCTATGTGTGCATGACGTGGTACAGTGGCAGGCGCGATTCGCGTTCTCACAGGTACGCCGACACATCTTATGCTGCACTATACTTGGGTAATTCGAAAATTTTTCATCGAATGAATATCGAATAATTTCGAAAAGGAATAAACGAATATCGAATAAATTCAAAAATAAAAAATCTCGAATAAACGAATGTCGAATAAATTCAAGGTTCAAAATTCTCGAATGAATGAATTCTGAATAAATTTGTAAAATCAAAAATATCGAATGAATGAATATCGAATTTATTCGACGAATAAATATTCGAATGATTTATCGAATAATTAGAGCACCATATCTCAAACTTGCCGACATATCTGGCTAAAGCCGATCCATTCATAATCAGCACCCTCGTATCCCCTATACCACTCCTAGCTCAAAATTTTCCAAAAATCGTTAAAATCGATAAAATAGATTTCGGTTTTAATCGGCGTCCTCATTTACCCCCTGTACCAACTCTCAACCTCGTAGCGCATGATTTTCCAAAAATCGGCAAAATGTATAAAGTAAATTATTATTATTATTATTTTTATTATTTTTTATTATTTTTATTTTCACTACAACTGCGATGTCCTTTACTCAAAATACACCAATTTGCAAAAAATTTTTAAGGTAGCGAATGGAGGCAGTTGTGCAATATAACTTATGCGAGCAAGAGTGCTCACTAGTCTGAGCTTTGCGTACCACAAGCATGAGCAATGCAAAGAAAGAAAAACAGGCATTTCAAAACACTTTCAATATATAAACTCGGAACATGAGCTTGAATTTGATAGCTTCTTTACTGATTTGGTGCCAATAGCAGCGCGAACAATCTCATTGATCGAAAAAGCATCAATTAAAACCCACATATGATTTTTTTTCACTGTCTCAAGCAGTTGGAAGAATGCGAAATCTCCATACAGTTCAAAGGCCATAACGGTTGCAAAAGATGCATTACCGTTACCGTTCATATATTAAAGTGTTTTGAAATGCCTGTTTTTCTTTCCTTGCATTTCTCATGCTTGTGGTACGCAAAGCTCACATAGTGAGCACTCTTGCTCGCATAAGTTATATTGCACAACTGCCTACCGAGTTCTGCGAAAAAAAACGCGGACGAAGTGAGCTTGATACTCAGCAGTTGGCTCTGCAACAAAGTCGAATAATCTGAATAAGGTTTTCATTCGAATACGAATTCGAATAAACATTCGAATAAAACATTCGAATAAAATCTATTCGAAACCCCTTTTTTTGATTATTCGAGTTTTCGAATAATATTCGAATCCTCGTTCTTTGATTATTCGAGTTTCCGGGTTTTATTCGAAATCCTGTTTTTTGATTATTCGAGTTTCGAATTTTATTCGAAAACCTGTTTTCTCAACTATTCGAAATTCGAATATTATTCGAAAATGGAAGAACTCCGAATATCGAATTTCGAATACGAATATATTAAAATGTTTTATTCGAATGATCGCATTTCTATGATTCGGACCCAAGTATACGCTGCACCCTTCTCTCGGATGGGACCCCTGGCTCCTCCGCCGATGCAGGAGAGCCTTAATACCACTGACGTTGGGAATCGCCGGAAACAGGCGGCCATGCGATTTATGGGGGAACGGTCAGGAGTCACGGTCGGCGCGAATTTTTCGCGAAGCGATGCCACAAGCGATTCAGCAAAACAGAAGCTAGCACTCCTCGCGCGGTCTTACTTATGGCACGAGCCATGTATCTGCCCCCACCCCCCACCCCCTTAGACTGGCGCCGTGCCACTTTAGCTCCGGGCAGTTTTATGGGGTACAAAATTTAGACGCGACGTGCGCGGCGAAGCGGCGCGGCTCGCGGCGTGACTCCTGACATGGAGCCCGATTTATGGACAGTCGGGCACCGAAAAATTGTTCGCTGATTTCTTGCGGTCCGCTTGCAGATATCTGGAAGAATGTTGGCGAAATTTTAAGCGAATGCTCGGGGAACAATTGCGGCTTTTTTCATGTTTTACTTGCGGCACAATGGCCGCATTCTCGCGGACTTTCTATGAGAATGCAAAATTATTGAAGGCCGCACAATTCTTTGTGCAGGACCGCACAGCCTAGATATCTTCCGTTGAGAGAAAGTACTCCAAACTCGGGTAATCAAACCATCGGTGACACCTCCGCCATCCAGAATGGTACCTTTGCTCGGCGTCACGAAACTGCTAACAAGACCCAGAGCGCTCGCTGAGAATTTGGCCAGCGCTCTTGAAATAGATCATTTGACGACCGCTTGCTGAAAATCCTGTATTGCTGCCCGCTGGCAGGATATGCGACAGTAAAGGTAGCACCGCTCGTTGAAGGTTTGGCCATTCCCCAAAACTTTGGTGACCGCCTGTAGAAAAGCGCGAGTTTGCAGACCGCCTGCTCCTGGCGATTATCGGAGTGGAGGCCCAATCAGCGAAAGAGGCTCCGAAAAGGTAAGAGACTGGAAAGCAAAAATTTGCTGAGACAGCCTTTGAAGTTCACTCGATTAAACTCAAATTGTAACATTCACTCGCATGACTCACCGTTTTCGCAGCCCCGGACAGACTTCACGCGATTTGATCGTCGCGACTCAATCGCCGACATTTCCATTCATTTTCATTTCACATTCAAAAATTTCGGGCTGGAAAAGTATCACAACCGAAATGCAAGTTGATCGGCATGGAATGATGCTGTAACAATTATCTCGTCGCGATTCAGTCGCGACGATCAAATCGCGTGAAGTCTGTCTGGGGCCTAACGTGGATCTAGGATTCAGGGGATAGCCCTCACATAAGGGAGCTTGTCTCATAATATAGCTTCTCACTTGCACATCTTCATGCACATACGCTTACATCTCTCCTTTTTACCCACAATTCCGTCCTCGGACTCAAACGCTTGCTGGTAGAATTAGATAGAATAGGATGGAGGGGCCAACAGTGGAGGGATACTTGTTAATGGGCTTTGGGAGCGACCGGTCTTTAGCTTAGTGCAGTTTGCACGAAGCCGACTCTGCGAAGCGGAGCGAGTGAGTCATTATGAGTATATAGTGATGGTAGGCAGTGAGAGCAGTGTTCATTTGTCGAACTTTACTTAGAACACAACGGTGAGAGCTTCAAGTCTAAGTGTGTATGGCTCGTTGCGGTTTGCTGACTACAAGCGCACTGATGGTATTAGCTACGATACACGTATGAGTTGGACGCTCTTTGGTTGGAATTGACCGACCTAAGCAAAGCATTTGGCGAAAAGCATCAACCCTCATAGTTGCGTTTGGTGGTATGCGGGTTTGCAGAGGATTGCGGCAGGTTTGACACCGTGCCGAGAAGGGGTCGATTGCCAAGACCAACAGGTTATGCGTCGATGGACGTAAAAGACAAATCGCGTTTTACGCGACTGTCATAGTAATAGTCGTAGTCAATAGTGAGTGCCGACTACATCCCGGAGTGGTATAATATTATCTTGTTCTCATAACAAAGCTTCTCACTAGCATATCTTCATGCACTACGCTTACAGACTGTATGTTGCCGATATAGGTATGCATTACTTCTGTTCAGTACAGTAAGTATCAACACAGTTTAGGCGGAAATTAGGTCCGCTTCGCAACGATTTGCGCCGCTTTGCAGCCTCCGTCTCTTCATTCTGATCTATCTCGCTGGGGCGGCGGCGCGGACGCGCTACTCCATTTGGAGTGTTTCGCCTACTCCGAGTTGAAATGACTGTACAATCAACAATTGCTAATTATGCACTCCCAAGCTGCTTTTTAGAGCACATTATGCATGAAACCCTAATAATTTCAAACTTCCAATCGCTCATAACTTGCTCCAAACGCATACTGATATGGTAGTTTTGGACTCAGCTCAGCAGGACGAATCTGATGATATGCATTTTGTTTCAGATCGCCACGGCGACTTGGGATCCTTCTCTTGTCAGGGCTACTGTAGGTGTACTGTAGATGGCAGTATGCGTTTATCCGAAAATGTTTCTTGGTCTCAGAAGACAGACAACTAAAAATCTGCATGGGTCAATGTGTTGATGTCAACTTCCACTATTGCACCAGATATTCGGTGTTCGGTTCAGTGGGAGGGAGGGACATTAACAAACGTAGGTCAGGCTGGATTTTATTGTTGGGCAAAGTGCGAAGAGCATGTATAGTTGACTTCACGGAATTTAGGGTGAATGCTCGCGAGCGAGTCTCTTGCGGTCTAATATTGGTATTCGCGCGCATGAGTCATAGCTCCCGTACTCGGCAGCCGCGTTGCAGGTACGCTCGCGTCCGTTCAACTTACATCGTCTTGGGAGATTTTGTGCAGTTGACTTTAGCATTTTTATATAGTGCAACACATTAAACGATCAAAAAAGTGCTCCTGCGATGACAACATTACACGCGAAAACAAATAACATGTTTGTGAAAAACTTATTTGCGATTCGGCAATTACCTAAGTTTGAGATTCCCTCAGTTTGGAGAGACGAGAATATACCAGCCGAGGTCAGTTCTCTTATTTATTTTACTCTTTCCCGTCAATAAGCTCTGGCAAAGACCGTTTCGTCATTTCTTACACTTTTTTAAAGTACTTGAGTATGTTCAACATTAGTCATAGATCTTTATGTACCCGTACTCGTAATCAAAACAACAATGAAATTGACCTAAATAAGCTAACAAATGCATTCAGGATGGCTACAGATAAGTGGGTTCATGAGCAGTAAGCAATCGCACGTCAACCATCTCTGAAGCATCAGCGTCATGTTCTCCAGAACTACCCATTCCATCCGTGGGAGGGCTTAGATACGTTGCGGATCCATTCATCTGAAGCAACAGACTTTAGGGAAAGAGGGGGGGGGGAATTCCCATTTAGTACAGGTAGTAAGCTTACCTTAGGTTTTTCATATTGTTTACAAGGGGCTGGTGTCCTTGTTGTTACAGTGTTAGTACTCATGCGTGCACCCCGATATCTTTGCTGTAGTTGGCCATTCAAAGCACCTTGAAAGAAAAATTTGGTAAATAAATACTTTGAAAAAGTAGAAAATTGCTTACCATAGAGAATCCAGTTGATAGCTGAATTTGTAAAGGGCAAAGCATGGATAAAGTACATAATATACACGAACAGTGGAGGAACAGTACCCTCAGAATCACCTGAACCTTTATAGTAAGAACAATTTATTGCTTACCAAGTAAATATCACAACCAAAAACCAGAAGTTTCTCAATCACTTTACGAAGTCAAAAAAGCAACGTAAACCCCAAGTTGACTACAGAGATTTCTCTTGATTTTTTGTTGTTGAAAAAAATCAAGTTTTTGTCTTGAGGAAAGTACCGTTGAAGTTATATTTATGGACAAATTAAGACAAATCTCATAGCCTCAGCTCTTGTAAATTACTCGAGAATGATAGTCCATAAACCTGCCATTAGTTCAAAATTCAGCTCTGAGTGTTTAAGCTAGAAAAAGCCATTTCTGATGTAAAGACAAATCTCATAGCCTCAGCTCTTGTAAATTACTCGAGATTGATAGTCCATAAACCTGTCATTAGTTCAAAATTCAGCTCTGAATGATTAAGCTAGAAAAAGCCATTTCTGATGTACCCTATCGTTAGTTAGTATCTTCTTGCATGAATTTCTAGCATGTTTATGACACTCCCTAAGGAAGCGGAAGTGTGAAATCCTCAAAGGGCATTGCATTTGCTGTCACATGTATGCCTCCTTCCATGTCTTTCCTTTAAAAAACAGATAACTAATTAATAATTTAGCAAGTTCGCACATTTGCGGCCTGCAAGCCAATTTACAAAGAGCTTTTTCCAAAATTACATCTGTGCTTTAGTTTTGTGCGAAGTTTTGCAGTTTTCAAAGTGGAAGTGGTCCAAAATAACAATTTCATAACGCAAGAATCAGGACCAAATTTAGAAGTTCTACTATTTTTAAGCATAACTTGATAAACTTTTTTGTCCCAGTTTTCTAGTCTAAATAAATTCCCTTTAGTTTACACTTCGTTCGCATTTTTCAACCTCTCATTCTATTTGGCTTTGCAAGATCGTGTACCAAATTTCTGTTGATGGAGAAAACATTTGAAACAGTCAGAGAAGGAGAATTCCCTTTAAATATGCGATCCTAGTACTTTTTTGCGAACTCCGTGGAAAGCATTACGGCCACTGATGGATCACATCGCTTGTTAATAGAATCTGAAACCTTATAACAAGGTTTAGTGGAACGCAACATTTGAGCCCTTGTATGGCACGCGCCATACTTGATCCGCTTAATCCACTTGATCCGCTTGATCCGCTTCGCTATTGGTCACTTTACTGAACTGACCAATGGCGAAGCGGATCAAGCGGATCAAGTATGGCGGGTGCCTATGGTGCAGCAATGAAAGTTAGCATAGTGTATTTACGGTACGGACAACATCAGAGCGTATAATTAGGTCATAGGGAGCAAATCAAAAACGTGTGGTCAGTGCGGAATTTTTTTTTGCAAAATTGTCAGCATCGTGGAAGTAACATGTTAAATGTTGAATCTTACTCTACTAAACTATCTTCATTTTCCGTATCTCTATGTTTTCTCGAGTTCTTTTGTAATTAAAGTAGTGAATATTTTCTATTTCAGTGAGATTTATGCGTATACTATCAGAATGTCTAAGCGTTACAAAATGAATGGAATATGTAAAATTACCTGTATTTTCCAAATAAACGGCAAAGACTGTGGCCATCCAAAATGGAGTCCAGCATAAAAAGTAGAAACATGCCACGGCTAATGTATACAACGAGATACGCATTAAAGGGATATGTGATGACTGAAAAGTAAACTTTATTGTTCCCTCGCTATTCGAAGCCTATGCTGGCTATGCAACTAATTGTGTTTATTTTCTCTGAACTCATTACTGTCTTCCGCCACCTTTAATAGCAGCGTCTTATTAACAAAGATAACTATAGACATGACGCAAGTAACAGACGGGCAGCACTTGTTTAGAAAACTGCAGACATACATCTCGAAAACTAGGCTTACCTTAAACGTTCGAGCATGTTCTCGAAGTTTCTTGAGAAGTTTCGAATAGAAATAGGCAATAAGAATTAGTGGAGTGCAGTAGCAGAGAACGAATTGATAGATTGTGAAAGCTGTGAACATTTTTGAATCGATATCCACCGTACATTTCTCGATCTTCATACGTGTGATCTTACGGTAGCCTGGAAGTGGTAAGTGACTAGGCATAAGTGCTGGCGGGTATATCTACACTATAAAGCTAGCAAGACTGGCGCACTAAACGGGGCGCACATTGGCAGCTGACTTGTGCGACATGATATAACATGTGGACGCCACACTGAAATTTGCTGAACGCAACGCCAACTGCCAAATGCGCACCGTTTAGTGCGCCGCTTAGCAGGTTAAGTATGCCGCAGCCTTAAAGTTGTTGTATGGTCAAACTGAACATGCGCGATTGCACAGAAACGCAAAAACCAGGATTTGGCAGTGTAATTTTTGAATTTCTTCAATTTTAGCAGACACTTCTTTCTTTTTGAAATTCTGAATTTCTTTCCCAGTTTGTGCGTTCCTGTGCAGTCGCACGCATTGTTGAAATTCCCTTGAACTTAAAATCACTGGATTCTGAGAACTAACCGGTTTCTCGGGCAAACATGATGATTTCCCTTGATGTGAACGACCATAACAAAGGGCAAAGGGTAATGAGGGCATACGCAGCCAATCCTTAATTAGGTGAAAGTACTTTTTCGCCGAAATACCCTGTTAAGAAACACAGACCTATAAGAATAGTGATAGCAAAATTTCTCGAGCGGAGAAATTTCTTCTGTGGATGGCATACACCGGCATATCGATCGAATGACATAGCCGTGAGGATAAGCGCCGAGAGAATTTTCCCGAAATTCTCAAACACTGCGTGCAGTTTACACGGCACTGTGCCAAACATCCAGAAGCCAAGAATTTGGTCGATTACGGTAAATGGAAGACTCAGGCAGACGCCAAAATCCACGCAGGACAGGACGATTACGTAGATGAGCGTGTTGTCGAGAGAGGCTCGACTTGATCGGACTACATGGTAGATTGTGGTGAGCACGGCTACGTTACCGCACGTGCCTGAAAAAATATTTTTTACATCAATTTCGTCAGACTGTTGATTTTATGGAACTTTTAGCCCATTTTCCATGTCTGTATATAAGTAGACGGCCGTTTCGCACAACAAATGTGGCCTGCGTTACTTTCTAGTTAGGAGGCTCACGAAAGTTTCTCCTCCGCTTCTTTTTGCTTAGACACACGCCATATTGATCCACTTTTGCTCCACCTCGTCTACTTGGTCAACGCTATTGGTCGAATCAGTGAAATGACCAATAGCGAGTTGATAAAATGGTTACCATTAATCAAGTGGTTCAAGTGGATCAAATACGGTCGTGCCTCTGGCAAAAACGCTGCGGGCTGTGTCGCGGGGCACGGCGGTCAGTACGGAAGCTGTTATTGCCCTCTAGGTGAGAAAAATTCGATAGGTAAACGTTCAATCAAAACCTTATTTAATAGGTGCAAGGGAAGGTAAAGCGGAACTAAAGCGCATATATGGATTTTTTAGTACATGGCACTTTAAGTATTTCCATCGATCTTCCCTGTTCTATAGCTTGTAAATCAGCTATTCTTTTGTTTGATTCAAATTCTGTATTGCAGCTTGTGTTCTTGAAAGGTGAGAAATTGCGATTTTCAACCCGGAACAGGTGCAAACGCCTTCTCAGAAGCTGTGACTAGGAGAGTAGCCTAATGAGGACAGAAATCAACACAATTATCGTGACATCATGGAGACACCTACGTCTTCCAATTTACATTTGTTCAAAGCTTTACGAAAAGAAATACAAATGAATAACTTACCCAGTAGGAAGAGGAGTAGGTAAGAAATGGCCATGACGACGACATGAAGATCTTCATTGTTTGGCGGTGGTAGGACGTCTTGCACGGACGTGTATTTGGACTGGAATTAAAGTCTTTGAATTTGCTGTAAAAGATTTATTACAAAAAGGCTTGAAAAAAGGTTAGATTTTGAAAACTCTCATTTCTCCTAATAATAGTAGTAATAGATTTCAAAGAGGGTCATTAGAATCGGATTGCAATAAGAACTCATTTTCAAAGGATCTGACAAGAAAAACTTGGTAAACAGCTTTGCCCCAATAACTGCAGTAAAAAGGCCCTAAAATAAGATAAGAAGAGCTAAAAAAATCGAATTCTTCAAATTCTTTGAGGCGAAGAAACGTGCAAAAAAGCACACCACCGTTACAGTACGTATTTAATGCATTTAAATATTTGCAACTACAAATCAAACTTGCAGATTTTTCAAATCTCAAGAAATAAGAAGAATTCCGAAAAAAAAATAAGAGCTAAGAGAAGTGAGGAAAAGGGATTGATCAATGGGAAAAGTCGTGTTGCGGATATTTTCTGATGTGTAAACTTTAACGCTTATTCTTTCAGTACTTCTTTCTTCTTTTTTCCCTTATAATACACATCTTGCGAGTTACGTCACCAAGGAATCACCTCAATCCTACTTAACCCCTCTCCTCATTTGCCATTTCGCGAAGGACGAGTTTATCGGTATCGCTCGAATCGTTGCTTGTAAATTAGCTACGGATTATGCACGACGACACGCTCATTCCATTGCTGCTCTGTTTGGCTCATCGTCGTGCGTAGCTACCACAATTAATAAAACGCTCAGAGCTGAGGAGCTGCGAAAAATAATGTCTTCGTCTTCCCCACACTCTCCTTACTCACAACAAAGAGTTCGACACATCGTTGTTGTCGGGTTTGATGGTGTCATCAAGCGTGGCGCATTAGTGGAGCACCCTACTCGTCTGGGTTCGGCGGAATACTCAATGGAATATCATTTAGTTTTGGTACTGATTGGAGGAAATAAATTTTAGCATCGAACACAAACCTACTTATTTCACAACTGTTCTCCTAAGCACTTTTAGTCAATTCCCTCGAGCGAGAGATTTGGTATTCAAGCCTTTCACGGGCTCTCCAGGGAAGAAGGGCTCAAAGAAATTCTTTTTTATGGATTCAACAGAGAAATTGGTAGGTTATATATTTTCTCTGGTTGTCACTCAAATTTCTACAAAGCGACTGAAAAAAATTGACTGAGATTTGATTCTTGCTTCTACAACTAAGGTTAGGAAGTTGCTACATATTTGATTAGATTCGGTTTTTAGCGTATCAACCCATCATGGCATCATTCGCATTAATAAAGCACTTTTCCATAAAAGAAAATATTGACCTGAATAGAACATTCGATTACTGCAGTAACCTCCATCACTTGCAATCAGAATTTTATTGTTATTTCATGCAAAAATAAATTTCTACTTGGACTCAAAGTCTGCGGACATTAAATTCCGAAATGCTCGACCAAAGCTACAAAATTATGAAAGAAATAACAACAAACAACACAGAACACCACTCATTTTTATTAGTCGTGCGGTTTTGCATAAAACTGGGTTTACATTCGCGCAATATTCAACCTCGATGAAAAATTTTCGAGGATAGCTAGCTTAATTACGGGTTCTCAAGTAATCTCAGAATCGTCATATTTGACCAGAATCTTTGTTTCATCAGTCTACACCAGATACAGTCAAACGAACTAATTGATATAGTATTCACTCCACGCTCTTTTTCATTTGCATAAGCAATGAAAAAGCTCTGAATAAATGACTTTGAATTTGAATTCAAAAAAACATTTGAATCGATTTTAGCCGTCTTGTTCCAGTAGTGAAGTGTGGACTTCGAGAAGTACATGATCTCTTTCTAAGTGAAAAAAGTAGTTCAGAAAACGCTGATTGGATGTATTGAATAAGAACAGCGCAAAAAATTCTATAAGTGTTCTCACGCCTTGAGCTACAAAAGTCAAGAAACGGTCGTTTTATTCAAGAGCAACTTTGTGTAATTGCACTACTTCTGTAATCTGCGGGAGAGTAGGCCGATGGCGGTTATTGCTAACATGATTGAGGAAACAATATAGAACCCAGAGGAATAATTGCACCTAGAAAAAAAAACGCTCTTCTTTTGTAGCATACTTTTGCTAGTGCAAATTCAAACATAACGCAGTTTTGCTGAATCTGTTTATCATGTAATGGACCCGTCATACTTCGCCGAGAAAAGCCCAAAAAAGCCCAAAAGCGCCAAAAGAGCTGGAACGCCCCCTTCCGCCCGCACATTCTGGCGCTAAGGCATGTGTGTTGATTTCGCAACCTAGTCTTTTTGGGTCATTTTCTGTCGTCTGCACATCAAAATAATGTAAGAATTCTCCCAAAACTTCGTTTTTGCGTCTCCTAACGCTTTCGGGCTTTTTCGGACTTTTCTGGGCTTGTTAGGGATTTTGAGCGCTTTTGGGCTTTCCTTTTGGGCGAAGTATGACCGGCTCTATAAATAGAAACTGCTTTCGATACCGCGAAGGCTGTGTTTAAAGCTGCAGGTGCCCATGCAGTGTCGGCACCGTTCCACTCAAGTGCACGTGTTTCGTATCGAGCGCTCAAGGATCCAGCAGGGCGCTGGCATGGCGCTGGCACAACTGCGGCACTCAGGCGACTCCAAATGAGCCAAAACCATGAGGCTCATAATTCCACAACTTCACCCTTTTCCCTCTGCTCTTCGACGTGGCGATCGGATAATGAGATATGCAGCTCGATGGTGCCCTCATTTATGAAGGACTGAAAAAACCCCTCACTGCCAAGGCACAATTAGAAGATAGAGTTTTTTCCCGCATGCTTCGTGCTGCACACTGTCTGCAGCCTAATTCTGTATTAATTTGGTTGCCCCTTGTGCCTTTGAAACTTCATTATGACATCGATGGGAAGTGAAAGCTTTGCATGTTGTATTTACATCATTCTAAGGGACAGCATCCAATTTCATTAAAAAGGCATGGATGACGACATTCACGAAATGCGAAAAAAAATCTAGAAAGTGTTTCGTCTTCGATAAAAAGCACAAAACGGTAGATTTGACAAAATTGTGTGCTTACGGTGCCGACAGTACTTGTGCGTAAGAGAAAAAAAACGTTGAAAATATGCGCTTTTGATCTCTAGTCTTACTACTTTGCACATTTAGTTCTCAAACAGTCTCGATCCTATTCTAAACAACCAATTCTAAATTTTAGAGATTTCGGGCCTTTCAAAGATAAAAAAAACGAAAGCAGCCGTTGAAATAGTAAATCAATGGTTTAACAGAGTGTAAGTTCAAGGCAGAAGTTTCGTATCAACTTTTGAAGTCGTGACACCTTTTTATCCACTCCAATTTTTTTCGACCTACAGTTTCAATGAAGTAGAAACATAAATTTTCATAGAGACTTTCTGAGCCGGTATCTATCAGTCAGTTATAGAAAGTGATAATACGAATTCTGCAGATTTCAAATTCAGTATAAAAATAGTACAAAAGTTGGAATCTAGTGTCAGTTCTCGAATATCAAATTGGCTAGCTCCATTGCGTGAACTCTTGGATAATCCCTTGCATTATTCTGAAACTACAGATAGGCACAAATTGTCTTCGACTAGAGTAATTATGGAGTTTACTCAACCTACAAAGCTGTATATTTGCCTAAATTCAACTCCACTTATGGTGTTTGTAAAATTACCTCAAACATATTTTCAGGAGCAGTTTTTAAAAAACGTCATCGACCGTTGTTATTAAAACTCAGTCATTAAAATTTTCTAAACAAAAGGCATTTACAAAACTAAATGGGGCAAAACTTAGGTTCAAACATATGAAGGTGAGTTACATTCTAGTGCTCTAAAAAGTGAATATCACAAATTAATGCTTTGTAACAATTTGAACAAAAACAGAGCCAAAATCTTATTCCCAATTATACTTCTCTCGATACTTGAAACAATAAGGTTTATAGACAATTTCTTATGGAGTTAAGGCTGTGGATTCTTTTAGTTTTTCTACGGGAACAAAAAGAAACACGAACTAAACGATGCTTGGTAAATAGAATTTTTCTTAAAGATCAAATTGTATTACTTCTTAAAACTGTGTAATATCAAATTCTAAAATTGAAAGGATCGAGTAAACGTTAGAATTTTGTTTTCGTTCAGTTTACAGCTCCCAGAATCCTACTACACTGCCCAACTCTGACTGTCATCCTCGTCCAGGTCTCTGCTAATATCGTGAGACTATAACCGGGAAAATTTAATCAAACTCAAAAAACATATATCGCGCAGATACACGGAATATTTTCATATTATAAAAGTATGATTCGAATATATTACTTATTACATTTCAGTGAGGCAAATTTATATTTCGCATTCTCTACTCAGGATTTGTGGCAACCTACATTGTGCTCTAAAGGATGAATTTGTATCATTTGTCTGAGCTACAATAAAGTTCATTTCGCAGCGATATTTGCCCTTTCTATCACAAGACAGTAATTTAAGTTTGATCTATGCTCTCAAAAATTCAAAAATTATTCAAAAAAATGTTTTCGGCGGCCGAAAACTTCGGGAAATATGTAATGAATTTTCTTAGTTTTACTTGAAACTGGTTGCATCACATCCAGCACAAAGGATTAAGGCTAACATTTGGTTTACTGTAATGTTACGGTAGCAGAATGCAAGAATTTGCAAGCTCAAAAATAGCATTAAGCTGCATTTTTTGGGTTCCTATGAGGTTGAACCGATTCTGTTGCTTTGATTTTGAAAAATTCTTAACTGCTACCTGTATGAACGTATCTGCTCATAAAATATTCCATCAGAAAGAAAAATTCATTAATTTGTGAAAGCAGCCAGAGATTAAAATTTGAGCAGGAGAACCACTTTGAGTCATTATCTTCGAAAACAAATTGTCAAAATTCCGGAACGCTGCTGAAAAATTTGAAAATATGTTTTTCGCAATATAAGTGAGCTGGTTTTTCTAATAGTGCCAGGTTTGTGCTGATCGATTTTTTTAAAGAAAAGCTGAGTGTGAAAAATGCAAAAAAAAACGGCGAAAATGTTTTTTGTTTTTTCTGCATTTAATTTTCCGAAAAAAGATAATTTATCAATTTCAAAGACGCAAGAACTTGACAGACTGAATTTTTCTCGCGATCTATTATGTCAACAAAAAAATGTGGAAAAAATTCAAAAAATTGAAGTTTCTTCATCGAAAAATCCCGTTTCAAGTAGACAATAACAAAATTGGCCTTCCAGTCGTCTTGCTTGGAATTAATTTATGATCGTACTCTGTGTTTTGTACATATTTTGTAGACGAAGGACTTGAAGATAGGCTTAGAGGGAGCTATTATCCAGATTTTCTAGTAATTAACACTCCAGGCTTCATAGCGACCCCCACCAAAGTACAGAAAGCCTGTGAGCGATCCTCTGCTGAAGCCTAGACTTTGGTCTGAACGTTCGATGCACTTTTCCATGGATGGGAAAGGAGGGAGGGGGTGGGAATAAGAGGGTGAGGAGCATGAGATTCTGTATTATGGAAGAAGCCATACATAGGGCAATAGAAACCCCACGAACTTTTTTTGCTTCATTACCTTTGCATGAGAAAATTCTCGAATATTGACTATCGCCCTTAGTGAAGCAAATTCAAAGACTGCAAGAGAGGAGAGCTTTCAAATACTTGCATAAAGAATAAGGATAAAGGATTCGGCGTCTTCAATACCCCCTACCCCAAATACTTATAACTTGACAGATTTTGATTAATGGTAAACAAAAAAAAACAGACAGAGGAAGAAAATTCAAGTGCATCTTGCGCCCCAGTATTTTCATTCTTTACGTAGAACGTACTTTTCAAATCACTGCTAAATTCTATTTTTTCGTTCACACATATTCACATAGCAGCGTTTTCAGTTATTTCTATGGGCAAACAGATTATTTCAGAAAATGACAAGAATTATTCAGTGTTTACAGTCTTAAGCATCCTAACTTTTCCTCGGGGCTATGAACCACACCCCGGTGGTTTTGAGAAGAAATTTAGATTTTCGAGATTACAAAACTTGAACTTTATTTACCCTCAAGGGCATCGAAATTGATAAAAATATTTCGAGTTTTACTTCTCAAAATTATAAGAAATTGAAGAAATTTCTATCCTTCGAATTCTTCTCTACAATGTCTTACCATAACTCATTTATTGCAAAATAATCAACAAAAGTGGAGATAAACTGAAAATAGAAACTAAAAATAATTAGGAACTTTTTAAAATCATTTTTCGACAGTCAAGTAAGATAAGTAAAGCATTCAATGTAAAATCAAAGAACTTTCCATATTTTTTCATATTTACGTTTTCTAAAAGATCTAAAAAAACACCAATCATAATACAATGCTTTCACATGGAATTCACGAATCTCTCTAGATCTCTTTGAATTTCTTTATCTCATATGAATCAACAGCAACGAAATTTTGATCAATCTGTTAATAAGCGAGAACTTTACCTTATGATGATCTTGAGTTCCCAATCCCTTTAAAGTAAGCTTCACCATGGTGATTACCTACCCCATGCATGATTGTATAACCCTAATGACCATTAACGAGCCAATCAGTTGAGAAAATGTCCGTAAATCACAAGAATTGACTCATTTGTGCAAATACACCACTCACCATATCGATCATTGACGGCATGAGAAACTCGTCCTCTTCGGAAAATCCGACCGAGTAATTCGACGATGCTTCCTCCATGGTTGCGCTTACAGCTAGTGGTTTGTACGAGTGCTGATGGTAAGTGTACTGTAGTGCAAAAGAACTCGGCTAGGGGAGGAAGAAGCCTAAAATTAAGGATTTGAACTTGGCGAAAATGACGAATGACGTCGATGTGGGCGTCAAGGATTGAAAAACGTCGAATCACAACGAGCGAGCAATGAATCCGAGCCATAAGTACAGCACTAATGAGGGCAGGTGAGTTCGAGTGACAGAAACGTCGTCAGCACTCGTTTCTCTTATGACTGTGGTGAAAAAAATTCCAGGAAATTTCTACCCGAGAACTAAATAGCAACAGGAACATCAGCAAGAAACAAGCGAAATATAATAGAAGAAATAGCATTCGGATCTGCACAGAACAAACATGAGTTCATTTTTCCGCAGTTTTGCAGAAAATTGCTTTCAGCTTTATTAAGTAGAGCTGGAAGTTATTAGATAAACACCCACTATTTGATTTGAGATCAAAAGTGCAAACACTGTTTTGAACCAGGATCAAGGCAAACCACTCACCTTAATTGAAAAAAGGAGTATGGAAATGAAAAAAAATAGATAAGAAAGATGATGACTGTATTCCAAGATAAAGAGGTGAAAAAATGAAATAAAGAAAGTGAATCTACCCTAGCTAGAACGCGTTTTTAATTTGCAAGTTCATTGCTTCCTAAATCTGCGAGATCTTACAGGGCTACCAAGATCATCTTACGATGAAATACAGTAAAGACAGCATTTCTTCAGCCGAAGAGAAAAAACTCGAGTGAAGATGGGAACTGTAAGTAGATCCTGCAAACAATCAAAAATATATTTTAGATGAAAAAATGAGAGGAAATATATTGCTTGGAGAGAAGTGAAAAAAGGAGGAAAATATGCCATCAATACAATAAAATTTGTTGCTGATTGCATTATACAAAATCATATGAAGGAAATTTTCTCCAAAAATAACCTAAAAACCTTAGAGAAATAGAAATTGGTAAACACTTGTATGCGAAAAAACCGCGGAAATTTACTAGATCAAGCGTAGTTTGAGGAAAGATTTTTTTCAAAAACTATTTGAATTTGAAAATCTTGAGGAAGTTCAAAATTTGAAAATCGTGGGCCGAAAATTATTATAAAAAGCATTTTACAGAAGTCTTCCTATAACAAACTTCGAAAACAGATGTCACAGTACATGTAATTTGTCTTATATCAAAAATTGTGTAAAGATGGAAAATGAACTTGAAATTCTTTAAAAAATCATATTTTTATTTCAAAAGCAACATTTGCTTCATAGTGATGAGTTCTATAAGTTGAAATTCACTAATTAATGCGAAAATTGTTCAAATTATGAACCAAAAATAACCACGATAAAAACTGCTTCGTAATCACAAAATTAGCTCCCACGCATTCAACTTCACCTGCTCTTAGGCTTTTACAATACAATTACGTGTATAAATAAATAATGATCATAGTGTTTAGATTTTAACACTTTCATAAATGACTGATTATAGTAGACTAATTTTAACACTGAACGTGCGATAATAATATATTATTACCAAAAAAATTGTTGTCCTTTGCATACGTGATCTCACTAATTTTCCAGAACGGTCTCAGTTGACACATATTTCTTTTTTACTTTATCTGAACATATGTTCTCTCTGTCAACGCGAACACAGCAAATTGAAATTGCAAAGCTTATTAGATTTCCATCGGAGTCATGTTACATAGTTACTGCACTAGAAAATTACCGCTCTTTAGTTTCAAGCTACCAACGCACATGCACCAAAATTATTGAATTTTTGCAAATTTGGGAAGTGCAAAGTAGAACATTCTATAGAGATAACCAACGAAGAAATGACTCAAAAATCTTGTTAAAACAAACTTTGCGAACAAAGTCCAAAAAAATTGGGTACAGTTGACTCTTGAAGTAAAGTAGAGACCTTTGAAATGATAAATTTAGAATTGATATATTTTCCAGAGAAAATTCTAAAAAAAAGCTATAAAGTGTTCGAAGAACTACCAGGGCTAAGCACGCACTTTTCCAAAATTTTACGATGTCCTCTTTCACCCTGAACCATAGTCCTAAAAATTCTCCACAAAAACCAAGCGTCGAGCAAAAAAATGTCGCAAATTTTGTGTCTTTTCGACCACAAAAACGAAACCCCCATTGCTTTTTAACCCAAAACGATATCCAGCTTGCTTACCAAATCACCTGTGCCTATTCCTGATTGTTACATTTCAAATAGAGACCAATAAGATGAGGAATAGTCACGTGGTCCAAAAGATTATGAATTCATTATTAGCATACTCCTTCTCATTGGACCGATAATGTGCTTTGCAGAATTTGCAAAATAAGTTCGCATAAGAAATTGCATATGAATGCACTCGCTTATTGGCATTCGTAATTTCAACTTATCTTTTTATAATTCGATACATAATACTCTATACTTTAAGTGCGCTATTAAAATCTCAAAATTGTAAAGAAAAATCATAGCAGTTTTTCTTCTATGGTAGGTTCCTCAATCTGGCTTGACAATCTCATTCATTTATTCTCTGATAAACCTTTTATGAAAAACAAGCTGTACCATCGCAAAAGTATTTCGCTGGGCAACCATATGATAGAGTCTCTTTTTTGGAGGTTCCGGCAGAACATCTGCTATTTAGCTCAAAAAGAAATACCCTTCAGATTTTGAATTAAGGAAGAATTGAAAAAAAATTCTTTGAAAAGAGAAAAAACTATTCAGAAAGAGAGACTATTCTAGAAGGTTTCGAACCTTCTCATATCTTCTCCCTACCTCATGCCCTCCTCTCCCCTGCAAACTCCCCCCTCCCCCCAGATTTCTAGCTTTTTGAATGCATCAGCCCTATATAAATGGAAGATGAGTGACGCATGTTCTAACTGCTTTCCGATGAGTCACTGCTCTCTGTGATTGGAGTTCTCTTGATCTCTTGCAAAACTAAATGGCCAGATCTCCACGGAGTAAAAAAAACCAACATACATATGTAAAGCGTGCGTTGGCAGTATTTAGGCACAAAAACTTCAAAAATGCTGCCCTGACCAGGAGGCCACAATTATATTAGGTCGTTCCGAAAGTTCTTTCCGTTTTTTCAACCTGTCATAAAAAGACGTGGAATGAGTGTAGGGAAACGCTTTGGGCACTATGGACGCAGCTTTTCTTCCTCTTTCTAGCAGTTATACTCGCATATCGCTTACTCTTGTGATCACTGAGATAATGGCCGATATTTCGAACCCATGGTTTTTACCATGTCCAAATTTGGCAATTTTTCACAAACTTCTTTTTTAACTTTTGGGAAAGCTTTGATAACAGCCAGATAGAGTAAACAAAGTGCAATACAATGCAATTTTTTCGCTTATCCAGCTGGCCTTCCAGTATTTTTTGAGATAATTTTTCCAAAAGTCTTCACTTTTGCAAAGTCCCAAAATACAGAAACGCCCGAACACCGGCAAATCTACGGATTTTGAAGCTTTCAAAAGTCAGTTACGACTATCCACAATTTTTAGAAAGCAACTGAGCGTTTACCGCTTGGAAATGTAAGGTTTCGCATTTTACGTGTACAGGCTGGGGCGGGTTCAAAATCAAGAATTATGGGAACTTTATCGCCAAGGACCCCACAAATTGGAAAGAAAATATATTCATTAGAAAGAGAAGGAAAATCTGCATCGAATAATACCTTAGTTGTGTGCCGTCTTATGTTCTATGGCTCTTGGCATCCTCAAAAATGGAATTTGATACCATCAGGAAAATAATTCTAAAAAACTTTTAAAGCTAGCTATCAACGCCGAAAAATTGCGTTAAATTGCACTTTGTTTACTCTATCTGGCTGTTATCGAAGATTTCCCAAAAGTTAAAAAAGAAGATTGTGAAAAATTGCCAAAGTTGGACATGGTAAAAACCATGGGTTGGAAATGTCGGCCATTATCTCAGTGATCACAAGAGTAAGCGATATGCTAGTATAACTGCTAGAAAGAGGAAGAAAAGCTGCGTCGTATAGTGCTCAAAGCGTTTCCCTACACTCATTCTACGTCTTTTTATGACAGGTTGAAAAAACGGAAAGAACTTTCGGAACGACCTAATATCATGTATTCCTATAAAAAAAGTGAAGCACATCTGAAAGTAGAATTTTACAACGACGAATGGGAATTTTTTTAGGAAATTCTGCTACACGCTATTTTTAAATACTACAATGGCTTCACTACAAACTTTTTAAGGTTGTGTCTCCTGATATGTTCGAGTAAAGCCTTGAAATTATATTTTTGTATGTATAAAGACTATGACATTCCAGAAAAATCCACAGAAAAGATGTGATTGCCATGGAAGCCTGCAAAAATCCATAAAACCCCACTCTACGCAAAGTTATGGGATTTTCCAAAAAACCGAGAAGGCGATTTTTCTATTCAAAGGTAGATAAGAGCAGCTGGAAATTGAAAATGCTATGAAAATTCAGAAGGTAACTCCTTCTTCCATTGTTTACGGAGAAAGCTGATAACTCAAGGTTGTGAGGCTCGGTACTTTTATCATGGTATTAGCAAGTGAATTTCTAAGCATTCAGAAACCTCAAATAAATCTTATTGTTAGTTGTCACCGGAACGTAGCATTAGGTCTTGAGTAGTCTAAGTTTGAGTAAAGAAATCCTGAGTGTCAAATGAAATTGTTTGTAACCTTCGTTTTAGGACATCCCAGAAAAATCGCGCAGTGGGAATATTCCTGAGTTCAAAAGGAAGTTTTTTATGAACAAAACGATCATTTGTGCTAGCAAATAGAATGGGTTGTTGATTATTTTGAGAATAGTTTCGTTCTTTATAGCATTTGTACCACTTTACATTGATCTTGTGCCCTTTCGATGATGGAACATAAGCAGACACTGTCATAATCGTAGCCCTATCATCGTCTGTTGAAACAGGAAACTCACTGGAATTTTCGCTTCAGTTTTCTGAAACACATTCTTTTATCAAAAGCAAAAAAATAAAGAGTTGATGCATTTGAACATTG